TTATATATATATATATATATATATATATATATGCATGCATGCACACACATGTATATACCTGCTTGTTTTTTAATTGCCCGAAGTGGTCTAGAATATGCAAAAAGGAGATTAAATGATTTAATATAATGTGCAAAATTAAAAGTTTTATTTTTACAAGTGTTGGAAGTTCAAAAGAGGAGTTCATTTCAGTTGCTGCTACCCAGTTGAGGTGTATGGACAGCTGCTGCTGCTGCTGCTGCTGCTGCTGCTGCGGCAGGTGCTGCTGCGAGGCGCTGCTTTCTTTGCCTTTTGCCTTTATTTATATTTATATTAATTTATTTATTTTAATTTTAATTAATTTTGTTCTAATCTTCCGCACTTGCGCTTGCTGCTGCTCAAATTGCTGCTGCACTTGCATGCAGCGCATGCAGGAAGTGCAGGAAGCGAAAAACGAGCCAAAAAAGGGCAAATAAACGCCTAAAGATGGAAATAAAAATAAAGTAGATAAATAAATAAATTAATTAATTAATTAAATCATTTAATTGGCCCCAATTGGGCTTTATTTGCTGCAGTCCTTCGACCGCTGGCCCCGGGACTTGGAAACGGGAGATTATTCCTTTTTGAAAAACAAATACGCGCGCCTCTGGGCAGACACCCCGTGGGGTGTCTTCGCAGCTATTGAAGGCACCACCGAAAAAGAGGCTCTCAACCCTTTGGCTTACGCGCAGCAGCTAATTGCCAAGTACCAACACGAGGACCCAAAGCCAGATTAGCTGCTGCTGCTGCTGCTGCTGCTGCTGCTGCTGCTGCTGCTGCTGCAGCAGCAGCTGCTGCTCTGCTGCAGCAGGAGCTGCTGCTGCTGCTGCAGCAGACAAGGCAGATGGAGCTGCTGCAGCAGCGGCAGGAGCTGCTGCTGCTGCTGCTGCAGTAAGATGCAGCAGCAGCAGCAGCAGGAGCTGCTGCTGCTGCTGCTGCTGCTACTGGTGCGGCGGCAGCTGCTGCAGCATGGGGGCTGCAGCAGCTGCTCCTGCTACTGCAGCACTAGCAGCAGTTCCTGCTGCAACGGCAATACGGCTTTTGGCCGCTGCAGCTGCTGCAGCAGCAACAGCTGCAGCAATGGAAGCAGCTGCTGCTGCTGCTGCAGCTGCACAGCTTCTGGCAGCAGCCAAAACTATCTTCCAGAGTCCAACTCTAGGGACTGATTATAAATTATTATTTGTTGCAGCTGCCATGCCAGACAATAAAGCTAAACCCAAACCCTAAACCCTAAACCCTAAACCCTAAACCCTGTTTTATTTGCTTCTTTGCTGTGCTTCCTAGGGACTCAAGCCTTGCGGTCCAGCACTTTCTGTGTATAGAACTCCAAACCCCAAACCCTAAACCCTAAACCCTAAACCCTACCCTAAACCCTAAACCCTAAACCCTAATCGCCAGGGCTGTAGGCTTATTGCTGTGTTGCTGCTGCCACGCAGCTGCCAGCCACTTGCATGCAACTGAAGAATTAATTAAAAGTTTTTAAATTAAAAGTTTATTTCTTTTGCATGCAAAACTTTTCTTTTTAATGAACTTAAATGCATGCAAATGAACTAAAAGTTTAACTTCTTTTGCATGCAAAGTTCTTTTCAATAAATTAAATGCATGCAGGCCCGCCACTTGCATATATTTAGTGCGGGTTTCTCTTGCATGCATCAAAACCCTAAACCCTAAACCCTAAACCCTCACGCGCTGCTGCAGCAAATTTGGACTTGTTAATTTCTTTTGCATTTTTCATTTCTTTTTCCTTTTGGCTTTTCCTGAGCCTCTGTAGAGGAGCTTTTGAGGAATTAAAACAATTTATTATGATTAAAATATATTTTAATTATTAATTATATATTTCTATTTAATTAATTGGAATAAATAAATAAATGAAAACAACTCAAAAGAGGCGCCGCCGGAGCGCATGCAAGTGCGCTGCGGCGGTGTACGTACACCTGAAGGCCCGCGCGAAGCTGGAGAGCGGAAAGTGGAAAATGAATTTAAATCAAAAAAGAAAATAAATAAAAATAATAATTCATTTTGGAAAGTAAAATAAATGCAAGACTTATTATTTGTGTCTGGCTGCAGCTGCAGCAGCAGCAGCAGCAGCAAAACCCCAAAGTTCGTCGGGCCCTTCTTTTCCCAAGAGCCGCATGCAGCCCCAAACCCTAAACCCTAAACCCTAAACCCTAAACCCTGCAGCAGGCACAGGCAACTGCCCGCAACCTGCTAAACCCCAAACCCTAAACCCTAAACCCGCAGCACCAGCTGCTGCAAAACCCTCGGCAGCCCGCCAGCGGGAACTCGCGAGGGTTTGGGGCTTCGACTTTGCGAGCCAACTGAGGGTTTAGGGTTTAGGGTTTAGGGTTTAGGGTTTGTGCTGCAGCTGACGCATGCGGGCTAGTGGGGGCAAAGGCTGGTGATCCAGGATTCTCTGGCAAATTCCAATTAGGAAATTAATTTAATTAATTTAATCAATTAATTTAATTAATTAATTTAATTAATTAATTTAATTAATTTAATTAATTTAATTAATTAATTTAATTAATTAATTTAATTAATTTAATTAATTAATTTAATTATTTTTATGCAAACAAAAAGGGGAAGAGGCAGCTCAAAGACAAGCAAGAAGAAGCCATGCCCAGCGCATGCATGCGCCTGAAGCGCTTCTGCAGCAGCAGGAACTTCGCTGCTGCTGCTGCAGGACTATCTGCTGCTGCTGCTGCTGCTCCTGCTGCTGCTGCTGCTGCTGCTGCTGCTTCCGCCTTAGCCACCACTGCAGCAACAGGCTCGTCGGGCTTCGCCCCCAGCTTATCTGCTGCTATTTCCCTTTCCTGCAGCAGCCGCACCTGCGACCAAGCAGCAGCAGCAGCAGCAGCAGCAGCAGCAGCAGCAGCAGCAGCAGCAGCAGCAGCAGCAGCAGC